TAGGACCCTGTAGATTTCCAGTTTGCAGTTGGCCATCATGGGTCTGGAGCTGAGGTGGTCTAGAATGGAGGCATAGATTATGGAGTCATCTGCGTCTGGGTTGTTTATTGGTTTCCTAGGGCTACCGTAACAAAATTTCACAAACTTCGTGTTTAAAACAACAGAAATTTATTCTCACACTTCTGTAGAAGTCTGAAATTAAAATATTGGCAGGGCTATCTTCTCTCTGAAGCCTTGAAGAGGAACCTTCCTAGCCTCTTCTAGTTTCTGGCAGCCCTAGGTGTTCCCTAGTTTGCAGCTGTAGCGCTTTAGTCTCTGCCTCTATCATAATGTGGCATTCTCCCTATCTGTTTGTCTTTACATGGCAGTTTCCTCTTATAAGGATACCAGTCATATTGGATTAGGGCCTACCCTAATGACCTCATCTTAACTCAATTACAGCTGCAAAGATCCTATTTCCAAATAAGGTTACATTCACAGGTGCCAGGGGTTAGGACTTCAATAACATATTCTTAGAAGCACAATTCTGGTCCATAACAGGTAGGAAAGGATGAGCTTTCCATAGGAGAGGTTATAGAATCAGAAGAACTGGGAAGTCCTGACCTTCAGGAAAGATTAAGTAAAAGACTGAGGAGCCCATGAAGAAGTTTGAGAAGGAAATGGTCTCCAGTTGGATCTGCAACATAGACAGAAAAACAAGGGCAAAAAAGTGTCTGTTGAACTAATACAACAGATAGGTGTTTCCTGAATGCCAGGCCAAGGAAAGGAGCAGAGCCTGGGTAATGCAGACAGTCTTTCAAGATGTTAAGTTTGGAAGGAAAAGCCTGACATATGGAAAGAACTAACAAGGATATGAGACCAAAAGACTGTTGAGGAAGATGGGAAAATGTAGTCTCAGCACAGGCAATGACTTAGAATTTGGGCTCTGGAGTTGGGCTTATCTGGATTTGAATCCCAGCTTAGCTTGTTCCACAGCAGTTATGACTTTAAGCTGGTTGCTTCACTTCACTATACTTCAGTTTCTTTACCTGAAAAATGGGGATAATTACCATAATATCCACTTCCCAGGGTTATTGTAGGGACAAAATGACTGAAGACATCTAAAGTGCTTAGCACAGTGTGTGACACATAGTAAGTGCTCAATAAACATTAATTCTTACTGCTATTATGCTAAAAAATAAAAACAAGGAGGAGATTTCAAGGAGATGGTAAGAAATATCAGATATAGTAGACAGGACAAGGAAGCAGAGAGTGGAGAGAAGGTCAAGGATTTCGCGGAGTGCTAGCAGAGCCTGAAAAGAGGGAAGGACAGAGGCAACAACAGCTGAAGAGAAGATGGAGGCTACAGGTATGAAACACTCTATAGCAGTTGAGAAATAAGAGAGTGGGTATTAGAAAAGAGAAAAAGTAAACTCTGATTTGGGCTGCAACAAGAAAGTTGAAGGAGAAAGTTGCTGGGAGTATTTGGTACTAGGGGACAGAGGTGACACTACCTTTTAAATCTTTCAAATATTATCTCAGTTTGATACCACAAATCTTCACCTTTGCTGTGCTAAGCCTAAGCATCCAGGAGAAATTGTTCTATAAATGAGGAATGGGCATTGGATATGTGGTGACATAACTCAGCAAGGAGTGGGTAGGAGGGAGGAAAAAGAGAAACTGAGATATGGGCTTGTTAAGTTTTAGAAGTCTGAGGAGCAACTGGCTAGAGAGTGCTTGGCTCATTCTGGTGGGAAGGACTCAGCGCTAGAGACTCAGGTTTAAGAGCCATCAGTAGCAAGTAGTCACCAAAAGCAGGGGAAGGGATCGAATGACCTACAGAAGGCAGGTCAGAGAAGACAGTTCAAGAAAGATTGAGGCTGGTGGGGGAGGACAAGCCATAAAAGGAGAGAGATGAAGGTACAGGGGAAGGTTGGGCAGTGGAAGCTACTACAGGAACACTTGTCTGGATGGAGTCGAAAGAGAACCAAAAACCATTCACTGAATGTTTCAATTAAGAAGGGACTGTAGACCATTGCTGAAGCAATTTCAGTGGAGTGGTGAGGCAGAAACTGGATTTGGATTTGAACTGGTGAGGTGTGAAAGACAGATGGGGAGGTAGAGACAGTAAAACTTGCTTTCAGGAGTTTTGGTGTTAAATTGATGGAGATATACAGGGCAATAGTTAGGGAGGCAGGATTTTTGTTGTTTTTTAAACAAAACAGAGAACAAGCGAGACAACTTCAGGTGGGCAGGAACCAATGGTACAGTGACAGAAAAAGGAAGAAGCCTTTTTGTTAGAATGTTTGGAGCCCTTGTTATCTATAGAACATAAAAATACTTAAATAACCAAAAAATTACATGCACAAACCCTTCAATTGAACAGGGAAATTAATTTTGTCTGTCATCTGCTAATTCTTATTTATGGGGATAAAGACTATGTAACCTGTATGTACACGTAAGTGTTGTTTCATGCCCCCGAGTCGCTGGCCAAAGTTACTTTTCCCCGTGGCACTCCCATCCCTGGTTGTCTGACCAATTTTTAATCTGATTACAAACAGGACTCACTCTTCCCATGAACTTCCTTTCACCTCACCTGCTAACTTTATAGTTAAGCAGTCTACACCTGAGCTTCACCCCTACCTTCCATGAGATTCTTTTGTTGCCGGGGTTACACTGTGAGCTATCTTGCTAGTCTTCCTCCAGCCTTGGTCTCTTGCTTCTGGCATCCCTTGAGCTCAGGGCTGGGCACAGGTAAATCGGTCTTCACAGTCTAAGGAGGGTGGTAAATTCTGAATCCTTAATCGCCTCGCCTAGTGATTTAGTTGTTTTCTCATCTTTTCTTTTTCTGTCCATTGTACCTGAAACCCTGGAAAACAGAATTTTCAACTCCAAAACGTTTTGAGGGGTGAGATGAGCAGGGCAGCCAGAGGAAAGACAGCGAGGAAGCCCGGGCCACCAGCCCTGGGGAACAGCCGGGAGAGGGCGCACCGGGCCCGGGCTTGGAGGCAGCTGCTACCATGGCTGGAGAGCGGAGGCCCGCTCTAGCGAGGACACCGAGACTGGAGAAGCGCCACATGGGACCGAGCGGCGCGTGGGGGCTGTGTGCTGCCCCGGGGTGTTCTGTCTCGGCTAAAAATATGCGCTGTTCAGCGCCAGTCGCGTACTCCCGGGGTCGTGCAGGCTGCACTCGGGAGGAGCGACTTCCGGAGCCGCATTATTCTGGGAGGGAGACTGCGGCTCCTGGACCAGAACTCCCCGGCTCCTGAAAAACCAGGGACAAGCTTCGCACTGTCCTCAGTCTTCTCATCCGTGTAATAGGGACCATTTATTTATTTGAGAAGTATGGCGAGCCTATGTTGTGCTTGCCACTGTTCCAGGAGTCAGGCACAACTACAAAGTTCTAAAGGCTGTGGAGTAAACAGTCCAGCGTCGCGGAGGGGACAGGGGCGGGGTGGGGTGAAGAGAATAAAATAAAGCAAATAACAGGATAATCTCGTATTTTCAAAAATGCCAAGAGAAAAATAAAAGATGATGTGTCTACCGCCATGCTATCCTGAACAAGACGGATCCGACCTGATCTTGGAAGCTAAGCAAGGGTTAGTACTTAGATAGGAGACCAGGCGCCGTAGGCATAAAAAATAAAAATAATAAGGGATTGTAAACTGACAAGGTCCTTGCAATCTGTGAAAAAAAAAAAGATGATGTGACAGGAGTGATGTGTAAGTTGTATTTGAATAAGTCACCCTGAGAGACACAGAGGGAAGAGGAAACTGCCTGTGTAAAGGCCTTGGTCGAAGGAGGCTGGCCAACTGGAGAAAAGAAGGCGGAGAGGGCGGCCAGAGAGGGAGGCCCCGCCTGGCGGGAGACCACAGCGCCCAGCATGATAAACCCTGAAACTAACCCAACGTGGCAGACATCAGAACAACGATGGTTCGTGGGGAGACTAGGATTGCCTGCAAAGGAAAATGTCCCTCGAAGGAATTTCCTATGGTGAGGGGAAAAATACCTCGATTAGAGTATTGACTACCTGGATGAACGCGTTTATAAAAATTCAGCGAAGAGCTGTGCATTTTGTTATATGTAAATTTTACCTTCAAAACAAAAGTGAGAGTCGCCGACTTGTGAGAGTAACCGTGAGCTAGAAAAGTCGTTTTGCTGCGCCTTCAAGCTTGCTACGCAGGCGGAACCGCAGCCCGCTCTGCGGGCATCCTCTGGAGAGAGGGTGGATGCGAGACCGCGGGCTAGGGCGGTCTCGAGGGTGAAGGTGAGCGGTGCAACTCATAGCCAGAACGGAGGCTGGGGTCTGGCCCCCGAGCCGGGTCGTTAGGGGCAACCTTGGAGCTGCACCTCCCCCCGCCCCGCCCTTCGCGCAAAGGCCAGGTGGCGGTTGGGGAGCCACCAGCCCGTTTGATTTCCCGCGGCCGGTGGAAAGGGGTAGGTGGGGGAGGGGAAAGGGGCTGTCGGCCAATGTGTGGGGCCGGGAGAGGTCACGTGGTGACACCCGGGCGGGGCCCAGGTGTACTTACGGGGCTGCGGGCGGGGGCCTCGGCCGCCGCGCGAAGTCCAGGAGGCGGGGCCGACGTGCCGGCCGAGGGGCCTGCTCCGCTAGGATTGGCCTTTGGCCAGGAGGCGGGGCC